ATCTCCCAGAGTCTGATGAGGTTGTTCTCACGAACAATATCCACAATGAGGGTTTCTTGTGCCGCTGTATATGGCAACCCTCCCACCTCTATGTGGCATTCTTTCAACTCTAAAGAAAGAAACATGTGTTGTCAATTGACATGTTTTACAATACAGTAACAACTGATTTGAAATCAATAAACTACTTTCACAAGCTTGTAAAATTGTATTGTGACAAAGAAAGCAATAGAGTACAATACCTGTTGTGTTGTCTGAATGCCCTGATAATGGTGGCCACGGTGAACCTACTCAGGTTTGGACGGACTCTTAGTCCTGCTTCAGCCATTGTCATGCCATGGACAATGACATGGTCAATGACTGTTGCTCGCATCTCGTCCGTAATGATGGTGCGAGGTTGTCTTGCTCTCCCTCCTGGACCTTCTCCTCTCCCTTGTTGGCCTCCTCCTCTCCCTTGTTGGCCTCCTCCTCTCCCTTGTTGGCCTCCTCCTCTCCCTTGTTGGCCTCCTCCTCTCCCTTGTTGGCCTCCTCCTCTCCCTCGTTGGCCTCCTCCTCTCCCTCGTTGGCCTCTGTTGGCCTCCTCCTCTCCCTCGTTGGCCTCCTCCTCTCCCTCGTTGGCCTCCTCCTCTCCCTCGTTGGCCTCCTCCTCTCCCTCGTTGGCCTGCTCCTCTCCCTCCATGGCCAGCTCTTCTCCCTCCTCTGACTCGAATTCCTCTTCCCCTGACTCTGCCTTCATCCATTGTGTTTGTTTGGAATCTTCAGCAAACTGTGCACTCTGAACTTGCTTTTATACATGTGGTCACAGCATTAGCAACAAGTGTCTTCAATTTTGAGTCGTTGTGTGTAATGAATGACGCCAGGTGTGTTCATTGTGTTCAAATATTGCTGACTGTGGCAAGCATTTTGCATCACATGAGCTTTCATTTGAGAATATGAGCAGAGTTCTTTTGCAACTTGTGTTTTAGCAAGGAAAAATGTGTTAAGATTTATGAGAACGGAGGATTGTGTTTTGTGAATTGTGTCTTCATGTGAAATGTGTTTATGATATTGGAAAATGATGGCTAGATTTAGTAAATGTGTTTAGACAACTGGTCATTTGGTTTAGAGGATTGGCTTTTGTGTTTTAGCATTTGAGAAAAACTGTAATAATGTCTAGTGTGGTGGTGCGGTGGCTGTGATATAGGGATATAGGCTATAAACCTACCCGTTGATGTTTAAATGACTTATCGCGAGAGGGGAAAAAGTCGCATAACATCAGTTAATGGAAACGCCGTCATTTCGCAATAGTTTTTTATCGACTTTTAGAAAAAATCGCAAAAGTTTTGCGCAAATCTGTAATGGAAACGCGCCTAGTGACAGTTAACTCATCTGAACTGCTTTACCTGCTTGTTTCTGTCCACTTCACCGATACAGTCCTTGAAAGCATCACCTTTTGCGACACAAACGTCCATTTAATAACATTTTTATGTAATAGCTAGGCCTACATGCACGCAATAATGAAGATGCACACTTACCCTCTGGATTTTCTCTTCGTTTACACGCTAGAAAAAAATAAATAAAACAAGAATGAGCATGAAGTAGCTTGATATTGCTGGTGATATTGCATCGTCTGGCATGTTATTCCCAAAGTGTCTTACCAGGTTTCAATAGCAGGTTTCCCATGTTGATTAACCTAACGAGCTGCCATTTCAGGAACAGGAATGGAGTGGGTTATGATATGCATGTTTCCATTGAAGTCTGTCCATATTTTCGAAATGAAGTTCGAGAAACTCGTCAGTGAGGATTTGCTACAGGCTCGTTCCTCGTGGAAGAAGAAGAGCAACTCAACTCACACTCCCTCTGGGCATCCTTCAGTTTGAGCACAATATCTTCACTCGACAGTCTAGTAAAATTTGCATGAGAATTATTTTCCAAGCCTTCGAATATATTCCTGAACTACCTTTTCGGTGCTCGTGTCTCTTCTTAAAGAATAACCTTTTAGAGGAGATTCGCTTTGATTTCGCAACTGCTTGTTTTTCAGATTGAACACAACATAAACATTTCAAATGAATATATATTTTAGTATTGAGATACCTCTATCCAATTTAATATCAGCACGATTTCCGTATTAACAGCATTTGACTGTACAAAAATAACAGCTGCAATGCATTTAATAAATTAAATAGTCATTACATTGTAGCGCCATCTGGTGGCGTGTCGAAATACAGCAAGATGTCACGAAATAAGATGATGTGATCAGTTTTTATTCTTTTTCCCTTCTGCACTGCAGCATCACAATTTTTAGCTACTCCAAAAAAAAATTACAATTACTTTACAACTTTACATAAGCTATTTGTCAGTTTCATTAATGGTATGATGATACAATAAATGTTCATTCTTTTTGTCATGTTTAATATTGTTAGCCAAATGATATTAATAATATAAAGTGTCATGTTCATACTGATTAAAGATAATATAATAGAAGAGATGGTCATAGGTGCATAACAAGCATGCGGTTATCAATCAAATCATTTGATTAAACTGGATTCTGTTGCTCACTACAAATCAGTGTATTATAGGTTAAAATCAGTAGGTACACTGAGAATTCGCCGCACAGTATAAAAATATTAAAAACACCTGATATATGTGCAAAGGGAGCATAATGGACACAGACGCAATGTAGAAACCTCACTCACAGTATCTGCACATCAGATCAGAGGTCCTGGGATTCCTCTGAATTACGAAGCAATGACATTTATTTTAGTAACAACACCGTTAGATAAGTTTTGTTTGTGAAAAAAAAAAACACAAATACAAAATACACCCTGAAATTAGACTATTTTATTTATTTATTTTTAGAAAGAAAAAAAAGGAGGGTGTATGTTAAGGCAAATGCTTAACTTTCAGAATAATATTATAAAAAAATATTTAAAAAATCAGAAGAAATTTAGTTGTCATCCTCAGGATATAGCCCGTTTTATTTTTGAGTCATTTTCAATGAGCTTTGCAATTTTGCAACCAAAATGTTTAAATACAGTTGATTTGTGTGATTTAAAAAAAAGAGAGATAAACATGAAATGTACATCAAATTAAATGCAATGTAATTAAAAGATATTTGATTAAACCCATATTCATGCTTTTACTTTCTGTGTAAAATACACTCCACACAGGAGCTCACTAGCTCATTTGGGCTTTTTATCTGCGTCGTATGATCATTTGTCTTGGTTCAGGTCACAGAAAAACATATCACTTTCTTATTTTTCTGGTTGTCATTCTGGTATGCATACACATTTATCTTTGTCGTTTCTGTTGTCTACATAACCGAAGATATCTATAAGATATTTAAAGAGTACATAAAACTTTTAAAATACCTACTGGGTAGTTGGTTCCTCAAGCCTTTATGTATAATGCATAATTAAAGGTATTCATAATGTACATTGTATTGCATTATCTGTTTTCATAAATGAATGTAACCCAAGTTAAAATGCATTATAATATTTGCAGATTCATTGTTACTTTTGAAATTGTTTCTCATGTGTATTATAACTGTGGTTACAATTTTTCATGAGGCCTTACACTGCATTATAAGGTGCATTACAAGGCACAATAAATGCATTGAAAATACTTCTATAATGCATTATACAAAGGCTTTAAGTAAAGTGTTAATCATAAACGGCTTTCCAGAAATAATCACTCATCAGATTACTCAAGCATTTAGGTAATTATTATTTTTATCCCCTTCGAGTGGATTATTTTAAATAAAATTTAAATAAAATATAGGCAAAAATATACATCCTCACTTTCGGATAAAATTTAAATGAATCTGTTTTAATTAGTCAGTTGGAATCGGTTTCGGGCAAATCTTTGAGACACCCGCCCAGCACCTGAACAAGTGTCACAGTCATGTTCTGTTTCTGTCTTTTTTAGTTTTTAATAGTTTTCATTGTCTGAGTTCTAGGGTGCGTCTCAATCTGCTCCCTAGTTCAGTAGTCAGGGCGTCGGCCATTTTGAACCACAACACCCTTGCAGTGCACTGAAACGTTCGCTCCCTAAAAACTCCCACAATGCACAGAGAAACCCAGGGATCATTTATATAACATTGAAATTATGCATGTATATGTAAACAAGCAAACTTTTTATCATAATGTACTTTAAATAATAAAGAAATCAGTTCTGCTGTTGTCATGTCGCCGCAAATAGAGTCAGCAGTGTCCCAATAGCAGCATCCGAAACCACATACTTCCCTACTATATAGTAGGCGAGAAAAGTATGTGACAAATTCACAGTACTCATAAAAGAGTCGGTGAAAAGTCCTCGGATGACCTACTATTTCCGGTGAGATTCTGAAGTGTGCATATGATGGACACTACTATCCCATGAGGCCACGGGAGAGGATTTGTGAATGACAGTGATGCTGGTAGGTCACATGATAATGACATCATGGCGAATGTAGTACGTCCAGATTGCATTCATACTACACACACTAATACTATATAGAACATACTTTTTAAGTGAATGAGTAATTACTTTTTCAAAATAAGTACCTAGAGAGTATGTGATTTCGGACGTAGCCACAGTGTACTGAGCCAGAGTCCTTACTAGTGCCCAAATTAGTGAACACCATATACTGGTACACGACCTAGGAAGCGAGGGCTGATTGAGATACACCCCTAGTCATTCATTAGATGTCATGGTTCCTAATTAGTGTTCACCTGTTCTGTTGATCATCATCCTCCTGTGTCTTTTGTTCATGGTCTTGTGTTAACATTACGATTGTAAACGTTGGTTGAAAACACATTTGGGAGATAAACGAGTACAAAACATGTAAACCGAGTTGAATGAATTTATAGATGCCTGAAAAAAGGACACTTAATTAATTACAAATTAACTTTGTACTCAAATTTGACCTCTATGTCGTAGTGTCGAATACAGCGGCTTACGTGTTTAACTGTGAAACAGGCGATCTGAGGCTCCAATGGAAAATAGGAGCTCTGGAATATTCAGTACACTTGAGTTAAGTAATTGTAGAAAATATTCGATGGCCAATACCTCACATATCCTAATTCAAGCATAACAGTTCAGTTTTTGAAAGAGGACTGAAAAGGCAAAAAAAAAAAAGTTCAGTTCAGTCTGAATGTACAATGATTTTAAGGGTTAACTTCACCCTACAGTTTCTTTGATGGCAACAGCAGGTGTTGGTCCTATATGAGTCCAGACGTAGCCTTTATCTGGACGTACTGGTATTGTTGGGAAGGGACAACTTCTTGATTTGAAATACTCTGATGGAGCATGACAGACAAACTCTAGGTACTCCATTTTTCTTGGCAAGTCCTCTTCAGGGCCTAAGCAAAGAAATAGCCATTAAATAAAGAAATCTTGTTTGAAATTGGGATATATGACTGGCGATCCACTTAACCCAAGATATTCAGGTTTACCAAATCAATTCAAATATCCTTTAACAAATAATTCACGTTACATTTGTCAGCGAGGAACATAAGAATTTATTTCTGCAGGAACTTACCAACAATGTATGTGCCTGGATCAAATCGATCTCGAGGACTGGCCTGAGTTGGGATCAGCCAAGTTAACGCAGCACTTTTCTCACAGTACTGGTCCTGGACGAAACCACGAATCTGTGCGTAATACGGTTTACCGTCATCCTCGTCTATTACTTTAATGACATCTCCTATTTGATAATAGACACCCTGAACACAAGAAGTACAGGTTAGATAGGAAGTGGTAGATAAAACAAACATTTTGAATAGTAGAGACTAGAGGAGTGGTTACCTTGTAAAACATGGACTCTGATGTGATGATTGTTGACACAGACTCTGGTGCTTTGATAGGCTATGGAAAATGAAGAAAGGAAGGAAGAATAAATGCCATTGAACCATTGCATTAAACAAACATACACAAGCCTGAGTGAAAAACACTTACATTTTTCAATTTGAAAATGTGTCGTCTGCCCTTTCCTTTGGTTGAGACTTTTTTCTCAGATGCCGGCGCTTTGTACTTGGTGCTCCGTAACCGAGCGGAGCGTCTGTGGATTTCCTGTTTGGACTGTAAAATTAAAAAGGAAACAAAAATAGTACCAGTGGATTTGTTTAGAAACACTATGTACAGATAATATGGTACAATTGTTTTGACAGTTGTGACGTTAACATGGCGGCGCCCAGAAGGGGGCGACCCGCTCCATGTACAATAAAGCTTGATAACTTGTGTATGTAGTCTCGTGCAAGTGTAGACCATAGACTGTAAAAAGGTGTAGACCAATACTTCTTATTTTTAAGCTTCGTTTAAACACTATGTACAGATAATGGTAGTAATTGTTTGACAGTTGTGACGTAACCATGGCGAAGGCCAGAAGGGGGCGACCCGCACCATGTACAATAAAGCTGGATAACTGTTATGTCTGTAGTCTCGTGCAAGTGTACACCAATTTAATAACATTTCTTTAAAATATATTAAAATCTTTACAAAAATGTCTTAATAAAATTTCATAAGGAAAAAAAAAAGAGCGCGCCTTTTCAACAAGTAAACATGGGAGCGACGTCGCGTATGTAGCGCTTCTTTGATTATAAATGGAAGTGTTCTAGTGGACCGTGTAGGTAGAAGTCTAAATGATAGGTTAACTTTCGTAAATTAGATTTTAGAAAGTAATTTAAGCAAGATTTCAAACCTGTTTTCCTCCGCCATTATTCTGCTGGATGGTGGATGAAGCAGATGCTCCGGATCCTCCACTCGTTACAATTTTACCCGTGCAGTTGTTACACAAAATTTCCCCCTGGTTTCCTTTTTTCCACATGGAAGAAGAGTTCGTCTTGCAGACAGCACAACATGGTTTTAAACCAAGAGGCATGTTTGCTGACCACAAGCAGCAGCCTGGCAAGGTTGCGTTTACAACGGTCTTGCAAAGTTAATTCTGAACTAAACCGTCGTGTTTTTCCTGTAAGAATGCGATCACAGCCAAAAATCTACAATAAATGGCGAATTCGAAGAAATTTGATCATTAGTTTAACCTCAAATAGACATCTTTCATTTTGAAAACAATGAATGATAGGTCCCGTATGTTTGGTTTTATCAAGGATAAGAAAAAAAACTTCCCGGATACGAAATATGCCAATGTAAAATAAAAGTCCTGACTGCACGATGCTTATTTCCAAAATAAAGGTCTAACAACTGTCTGTGAAAAGATTTCACTGGAGGGCGCTGTTCATTGCCATTTAATTTTAAGAAAGCAAGTACAGTGTGTAGAATTAGTTTTTTTTTTTCATGAACCACAACAAATAGGAGGACTCTATTTTAAACTTTTTAATCCGACCAAACCTTCTCCAATACTTTCTGTTTATTGGCTAGCTACACATCATACAAACTGGGAATGTATCAAGTATAGTCTATGAGTGTGCAAATGACAATTCAAGGTTAATGGTCACGTTTAAAAAAATAAAATCAAATCAAATCACAAAAATACCACCACCATACATACTTGGGTAAAAAAAGAGAAACAAATAATACAAACTTCAACCATTTTTACACACAACAGTCAGATTAAGATGTAAAAACTGGTCATCACTTAAAACACAAGATGATAAACTGCTCATCAATTCCAATGTAAAATGTATCTGAAAGAAAAAAAGCCAAACTAAATGCACCAACTCTACATTTACGATTCCTTCTTTCCCCTTATATCATTCTGTCATTAAAACTGTAATGAGAGGCCATCAAAAAATGGCAACTAATTCAGTGTAATACAAAACATGAGGCTGAAACTATCTAATGGGGGGTAACTAATATGTAAGGTTGATTGTATTTGATTGACACAGCAAACTCCAACTTAATTAGGCAACGTGTACATAAATAAGAAAAAGTACAAAAAGGCACACATGAGCACAGTAGAATCTAAAAAATAAAAATAAAAAACAACAATCTCTTCCTCACATCTATAAACTTCCAACAATGTATCAGTAATAGATATCAAACTGGTATTTATGACTGCTAGATTAATATTCTGGTTTAAATGACACTTTAAGATATTGACAGCATCAGAGTTCGTTTTTAAATGCATTGCTTTTTTTTGTTAAAAATAAAAAAGTGGTTCTCAATACCATGCCACAGATGCTGTCTGTAAATCTTAAATAGTATTTAACCTGGAATATTCTTTGAAATTTTGTTTACTGCACAGGAGGTTTTGTCAAAGGTGTTAATGGATGTATAATGGATGAAATCAGGTAAACCACTGTTTTTATCTCTCTATTGCTTCAGTAGACCTGTGCAGTGTCTTTATGAATATATCCATGAGCCCAATGAAATGCACAACCCTGGATATCAGAGGTGTTGTGTGTAGTAGTCACAAAAGATAAAGTAATCAATGCTATCACATTTTCATTTACATCGTGTTCCCTTTCTGAAGCGAAAAACGTCTTCTGCAGCAAACAACATTTCACACTGCTCAAATTTATAATATGTGAAATGTGCATTGTGTGCACCAATTGCATTAAATATGGCATAGAAAGAACATTAATGTTTTTAAATAAAGCATTAGATTGGCATTGCTAAGTAAAAGGGATGCTGTAGAATAAAAATAAAAGAAAACAGAGCAAAGAACTCATTAAAAGCAAAACGTTCAGGAGCCGGTTGCATAAACATAGCCATTATGTGAAGACAGTGTCTTAAGTTCAAGTATGACCCACTAGCAGTCAGTCTTAGTTTTCGGTATCAAATTAGGCAAATCTACATTTTAATGTAACTGATTCAAAAAAGCTATGAACAAAATAAATTGATGTCTAACTTGTAAGATTAGTCTTAGAGGTTTATGCAACCTGATGCAGGTCTTAATGTTGGCTTCACACTGGACGAATGCATTCACGAATTCATGTTTTCTTCTGCATGTAAACATTCCCATTTTTTTTTTTTTTTCAGAAAGATACAACTATCAAAAATGTATTCATTTCACTTCATCTCATCTCTTTAAAAGAAAGAATGAATTTACAATCTAATACAGATGGAGCTTTCTCTAATGGCACGCACAGCATGACTTCTGGCCTTGCTTACCTTTAAAGTCGGCATGAAATTAAACATTTCTATATGCACGTTATTAAAACTTATTGTGGACAATTCATTTTTTTCTTTTGATCTCATAATTTTCAATCGTAATGTCATATTTTCAGGTGAAAATGACACGCCTCTCTGGTGACGCATGCTGGAATTCTCCAATCATTTAATCCCGCCCCTTTCTTACAAGCTTGCGTTCAGATCTGCCTCCATCCTATCAACAAACGATGGATATAAAAGTCCTCGCCCTACATTTTTTCCTTTTCAAATCATCCATTTCACTCAGATGTACGTCACAATATGGAAGAAAAGATGGCACTGCTTCCATTTCATTGCGACTAATACTTTGCGACATTCACTTATAAACCGTATGTTCTTATGTGCACAGAAAAGGTTCTCACACAAAATTGCCACCTGATTCACAACAGATATGCACATAAATTTGCTCTTACTGCCAGATTATCTTACATAAATATGCCTAAAGTTAGCAATAAGCATAACTAGTGTCCTAACCATCTCCATACAGTGGCTTTCCGTACATAAAGACCTTTTATATAGGCCTAACAACATATTTTTATGCAACTACTCCAGATCAAACTATAACGCTCGTAATTCTCTAATGCAAAATTTGTTGTTAAAATCCTGGGTCAGATTTTCAATTCAATATAAAACTTTTCGGCTTAAAGCATGTTTTTTTCTGGTTTTTACATGCATGGCGTTTTGGTTGGTTCTAAATAGTTTGCGGAGTGTAGAAAAAAAAAGTGCAAACTTATTGATGAACTATGATTTCTGTGCAAAAACATTCATACACACACACAAATACGGTTAGTGAATGAGACCCAATCTTCACTCATCTGCTTTCTTTAGCTTGAATCGGAGCACGTTTTCTTGTTTCTGGCGCAACACACAACCGAGACGAGTCCCGTCTAACCCCACTGCACCTCGTCGTTCACACTCCTCCATTTTTGCACGAGCAGTTTTGTTTTATTTAGTGTTTTGGCACAGTAAGAGCACTCAGTTGGTAAATGTAATTGGACTCATTCCTCACACTAGGTGCACTTCTTCCTCCCACTCCGAGGAGAGTTCGGTTCCCTGCGGATCAGCACTGCTTTCAGGACAAACTGCACTGGTGAGATCTACACTGCCCGAATCCTCCAAGCCTGGCTCTGCTTTAGGAGGTTGTGCATCATCCACACATTCTAGCTCCAAAAGTTGCGTCGCCAACATTTCTGAAGTTTCTTTTGTCAGCGTTAGGGAGTCTTCCTCTTCGTTCTCCTCGTCCTGGGCTTTGGCAGGTTGTTCCTCTCCAAAAGCGAGTGGCTCGGGACCGGCATCCGAGGTGGCTGAGGGAATCAGTGCGATGCTCTGTGGATTCATATCGTGGAACCAGGCCATAATGTTGCCTAGCAGGTTGGCATTGGTGGAAGGGTCCAGGCAGTCCGGGTCACTCGGGGTGAAGGCATCAGGGAAGGAGCTCATGTTAAAGGGTGTATAGTGGCTGGTAATGTTGCCCAGTCTCATAAGGCTGTCTCCCAGCTCCAGAAGCTCAGAGCTGCTCATGGAAGCCCGGGGAGGATCCGCAGAATCCAGTCTAGAGGACAGAGAGGAACCGCTGGCCCCTACTGAGGCGTCGTTACTGAGACCATCCTGAGGCTCGGGGTCCAAGGCCAGCCCGGACTCCTGTAGGGACAGCTGAATAGCCAACAAAATATTGGGGTCATCCTCATCCAGAGAATCAAGTGCCTGAGGGGATAAAAGGGATTCAAATTCTCAATAGATGATCATTGACTCATTTTTGAGTGAACTACACTACCATTCAAACGAGTAAGTAAATGTTAATCATCAAGCATGCATTAAATTGATCAAACGTGGCAGACATTTATAATGCTACAAAATATTTCTATTTTAAATGGTGCTCTTTTGAACTATATTCATCAAAGAATTCCAAAAAAAAAAAAAAAAAAAAAAATTTACATTGATAATAATCAGAAATGTTTCTTGAGCAGCAAATCATCATATTAGAGTGATTTCTGAAGGATCATGTGACACTGAAGACTGGAGTAATGATGCTGAAAATTCAGCTTTGATCACGGGAATAAATGACATATTAAAATATATTCACATAGAAAACAGTTTAAGTTGTAATAACATTTTACAATATTTATACTTTTACTGTATTTTTAATAAAATAAATGCAGCCTTGGTGACTTATTTGCAACAACAAAAAAACGATCCCAAACGTTTTAACGGTATCTTTTTAATGTTGTTACATGTTTAAAATAATATATAAAATGTGTTTGGTTTAATAAGACATTTGTATGAAATATTTAGTTTAATTTTGTATTTTTGTTGACTAAATTTAGAAACCATTTTGTAGTAAATATGACTAAAATTAATGAATTTAGTATGATTATTTTATTATAATTAAAATACAAAAATGTGACCAAAACAAATAACTGTGTAAAAATTAGGGATGTGCCTGAAGCCGAATACTATGTTCAGAAAGGAAATGACACTTTCTAAGGAGCTCCTAAAGGGACATGTTGATGAGAAAAAATATGAGATTAAATAGTTGTGTAATTATATTGTATATAATTTTGCAGGCATCAGGTAGCAGCTACTATCTCTTCTGAGTGCGCAATCAAAAGTATTCTGTACTGACCGCACATTTTACAACTTTTTTATTTTATTTATCAATGACACTCAGGATCTGTTGTGCAAAACCAAATCCTCCGACATCATCCTGTCAGTCATCTCTCCTAATAAGTGAAATCTGATGTACTGTAATGCAGGGCTGTAGTACTCGAGTCCGGTCTTGGATTCGAGTCCGGACTCGAGACCGGTTTTCTATGGTCTCGGACTCGCTGGTATTCGGACTCGGACTTGTCTCGGTCTCGGCCACTGGTCTTGCCAAATATGTAGTCCAGGTGTCTTTATTATGTTCCCAGTAATGTATTATTGTAGTATGCACCCGCAGAAACCTCCACAGATTACCGCAGATTGTAGTGCCAGTCATTGACAAGTACGACCTGCGCGTGTGTGATTTATTTTCTACTATTTGCTACTGCAATACCG